CACAAATACAAGATCTACTCCAGTCCACTTACGACACTGTGGAGCGTACCACATTCCGACTCACTCATATCCTCCTGCATCGAGGACTACTCATTCCCCTTCGCGACTTCCTACCCGTCGACTATCAGAATCCCCCGTCCAACCAGGAGACCACCCCAGTGACTTCCCATTCGACCTCTCGCCATCCAACCCCTGATCCAATTATCCATCCAACTGGATCCCGAGAGAATCCCATTGACGTCGACGGTCCAGTGCTGCCTACCAATATGACAGGAAGATATGGCAATATCTGCTGGGCGTGTCAGCAGCCTGGTCATTTCCAATCTCATTGCCGACTCTTCCGCTGCCACATCTGTGGACGCACTCAACCAGGGCATTATCCATCTGCCTGTCCTCAACGAACTGTTTGGGACAATGCTATCCAAGAAGCCACCGAAGAGCAAGACTATGACGATGGCACTCTTGTGGACCTGGACGGTTCGGTAACCGGTCATGACTAGGAAGTTTGGGTAAACTTCGACCATAGGAAGGGGGTAATGTTATGATTTTCCCATGCTTATCTCATTCCATTTCCATTCCGAGCATTGCTATTGGACAGTACCTTTCTCTGAGTAGAACTTCCCATGGACGCTATCTTCTTCCCACACATTATCTCCCTTGACTCACCTTCTACCAATAGGCGCCCTTGTATTTCTCATTTCTCTGAGTTACGTTCTCACAGGATGGCTTACGCGTCCTTTCTTATTGTTCTCTTCTTTGGGTATTAACCCCTATACCAGTTACTATATATACTGTAGGAAAACCCATGTATTCCTTAGTTCAACCTCCTGTTGAATACAGCGATTACCTGGACTCTCGACTTGACCGTTGGCATTGGCCCAGCCAGACCTACCTTTCAGTACGCTTACTGAGGTAGTGACGACATAACTGTTGGCACGAGGCCCAGTTATCTCAAGACGACTAGTTAGGACATCGCTTCCTAACAGTGAACCTCAGGTAGATTTGTTCTCTCGAGCTTTCGAGTCCTTGGAGGAGACAACTGGAGCCACTCCGGGGCGAAGGAAAACACAGAAATTTGCACAGGACACGATCTCCGGGAAGAACGATGCCTCTGCCGCCGAAGGAAAAAAGCCCGAAGACGGTCCAGCCGTCTTCAGGGTCAAGGAGGCAGATATGTATACCAAGCTGGTATGTCCATGGATTCTGCTATTGTGTGCTGCTGATAAGCATTATATAGATGGACTGCATCGGGACGTTGTGCCCAACCTTATACTTGGTCAATACTTCTAACAGACCGGATCGGTCTGATCCATGAGCCTTGCGACTGGACTTAAGCGCTTACACGGCTACAATTCCAGTCAAACATCGCGTTAAGGGAACGTCCTGGCCGCTTATTGAGCTCTGCATCGAAGTTAAAGGTTCTGTCGAGGAGGACCCTTTTATTGACCCGCTCGACGAAGAAGAAGCACGCGTCCCCGCACCCACTGGTTCTGTTCCTGTTTCGGGAGCTCATGCCGCAAACTCTGAGGACTTCGAGGATGATCAGCGACGTCCATTTTCATCCTCCAAGGTCGCCATTCAAGTAGACGCCTCTTATCCTTTCGAGAGAAAAACCGGGAAAGGCAAGGCCAACAGAGGTCAACTCACAGATTACGCCACCAATATGTGGGCCTACCAGCATCGCGTATTTTTTTTCCAAGTCTTTATCTTCAAAGACTTTGCTCGCCTGTTGAGATACGACCGAGCTGGCGTCATTGTTTCAGAGCAGTTCCGGTACCAGAAGACACCATATCTAGCGCAGTTCTTCTCCCGGTTTGATGCGATGTCTGCCTTACAGCGTGGAAGAGACACAAGTGTCTCTGCTGCAGGGCCAAACGAGGTATCCCAGGCAAAAGCAATATTACCGTCAGAATGTCTCGACGACAGCAAGGAGCTGCTGAAGATTCTGGTTCACGATAAAGAGGGCGTGAAGGAGCTGATAATCTCCACTCCATGCTTCAACTATCCTTCGGCCATTGGCAGGGGAACGCGGTGTTACGTGGCCGCCGATATTGCGACCGGAAGGCGTGTCTTCCTCAAAGATTCCTGGCGGTACGTAGCCTCCGGCATGGTCCCAGAAGGGGATACGTACCGCCTTTACATGCAAAGGGAGTCTCAAACATCGCCAAAGTTGTCTACGATGGCGATGTTAGGACTCCAGGGAGTAATCAGCTTCAAGCAACCGTGACTGCAAAGTATGCTAAGAGGAATTGGGCCATTGCCACGACCAAGTTGGAGGAACACCAACACTATCGTCTCGTTCTCGATGTTATAGGAGAACCACTTGACAAAGCCCCATCCTCCCGGGCCATAGTGAAAGGTATCCTTGACGCACTCATCGGTAAGTGATCGACAATTGTTGATTGGCATGTGCTCATGGATGTTTCTCTAATAGCTCACTGGGAGGCTTTTGACAAAGCAAAAATCTTGCATAGGGACCTCAGCCCAGGAAACATAATATTTACTGAGACGGGTCACGGAATATTGATCGATTGGGATCTATGTAGATCCGTTGATTCACAGGAAGCAGCCCGGATCCGAGGCCATACGGTGAGTCCAAGCGACTGATACTCCTACACTACTCTGATGAACCTCGGCCAGGGCACCTGGCAATTCATTTCGTATGAGCTCCTCCAAGACCCGGAGAAGCAGCATTCATTGCAGGATGACCTCCAGTCTGCCTTCTGGATCCTTCTCTATATCTGTTATCAGTTCATACCGAGCACTGTAGAAGGAGAAGCCCTTGATGCTGGTTGATCACTTATTCGATGACACCAGGTGGCGACCAGATAAACGATGCTATACGGGTGGGGACGTAAAGGGATGGGTCCTCCACCTCGGGCGATACATATTCCCCGGGGTGCAGGGAAATCCAGATGTCAAGTTTACAAGCGCCCCCGCATTGAACAGATTCATAGAGTCCCTATGGGTTCTGTTCAATAGCTGGATGAAGCGCAATGAAGAACGGAACCCCGCAGCCCGTCGGGTCTTTGCAGCAGAGGCCGAGAAGTTGCTCGACTCGAAGGCAGTCATTGCGCTGTTCCAGGACGCGTACAACAGTCCAGACTGGCCCGCCGTCAACGACAGACAGCCATGCTTAGTGCACAGGACTTCGAAGCAGAAGTCCTCATTGAAACGCGCCAGCGACCAGAACAGTGGTTCGCGATCAAAGAGCCGCCGCCACAGCGGAGATGGGGGTAGTGACGCTGCAACTTCTTCTCACATGGCTCAGGTTCAAGAGTGAGATCTAGCTCGACTTAGGGTGATGACATTCCACCGCTACCGTATGTTGAGGTACTACAGCATTCGTATTGAGTTGCACGGTAATTGTGATTAGGACGGACGTACTTGTGTATTTCTGCTTACTCCTTGATACCAGATAGGGGAACTTATGTTGGAAGTATTCTCTAAGAGTGTCCAGCTACTCGCCACTGCCAGTCACTAGTGTGGCAGGAAGTATGAGGGTTCCAAGGATGGAGTCTGATACAAGGGCAGTGAATAGATTGAAGATTCCCGGGTCATGTGGAATGTCGTCGCTCACAATGTCCGCCACACCGTGACCTGCCAGTGCTCTTCCCTCCGAAAAGGCACGTATTTGTGCACCTGAGGATTTGGCCCCCGCAACCCTAGACGGGAACCTATGGCTCGTTGACTGGGGTATGTCTGGATTTTATCCGTCATTCATGGCGTATGCTGGAATATATGCTCCATAAGTCATCTTGGCATGCATGATGGGGTCGTATGCGGTGGGCATTGTTTCGATTTATCTTGCGGCCCTTAGGCTTGTCAATGATGGGTGTTCCAGAGGAAAGCCGAAGCACTGCCTATATTACATGCACGTTCAGTGCGCTTCAGGATGGACAAGCCGCCACATATCTATACTGGCTATATCTGGCATGAGGAACTGAATGCAATCCTCCCAATAAGTTACGGGATGCAAGTCACGTGACCCCTTTCCACGCATTCGGCACGCGTATCGAAGGTGCCACAAACCGCATCCGACCGCAAATTGAGAGGCGAAAGGCTATTTCAAGGGGCTCCCCATGTGCTATAGGCGGCCCACTGCTATTGTATACACAGTAATAATGTCAGAAATTTGATATCATGATTGCGTCTTATACTACTTATAGCTGCCACTCCAAGTATGCACTACTTAAAGTCTAATAGGGGAGCAGGGTCTTTCATCACTCAGGAAAGAGGCTTTAATGAAGCAAACTTAGTAGGCAAGCTCATATTTGTGCCTTGCTGGTGCCAGGGTTCAGACTTCAAATGGTTGAATGTGCGCCACATAGCAGTGGATGCTCATTAGACAATGGAATTTCCGGGTGAAAGCATTACCTGATGACAACATTAATATTTAGAGTTTGAGCTGGCAGAGCATCGAAACAGCATCTAAAAGCAGGAGACCACGAGCACAAGCCGAAAGGAGGATCAAAAGGCACTAATAAGGTTCGAACCCACGATATATCACAATTCTGCTTCCATGAGACGAACGCGCAACCATTACACTACAAACTCAACAGAAGTACATGTAACAATGCATATATGTCACCCAACTACCCTTGCAGAAGCCGGTTATCACCGGCCCGCGCAGCGCACGTGATATGCGTCCCATAATTTATTGGGAGGATGCATCAGCAAATTTTCCCATAACTGGTGTCTGAATATAATTCGCATATAATCAATTAAAATAAATACCAGTATTACAATATGTACCAGACTTGTGGACAGCTGGGCCAGCCATTATATTCAGATGGCACATGTTGTAAGACTCCCGCAAGAAGTACAATATGCACCAGACTTACACATATTGCAAGCTCAGGCCAGCTTCCTTTGACCCATAATCACACTATCAGCTGTGTTTTGCTTGGTATTCTACATCCCAGAATGAAATACAGAATCAACA